TATATATATATAAACTTAGCACAAGTAAAGAAATTTGTGTTTTGTAGATTATTTCTTCGTTGTAACAATGCTTCTTGGCAATAAAACTTATACTCCAGGAAATTTTCTTTTAAATGGGGCCACATTTGTAAGGAACATGCATTTGCAGGATGAGCAGTAGAGCTGAGTATGTGGGTTGAACACGTGAAAATGAGCCAAACAGCTTATTTTGTTGTTGTTACTGACACTTGTTTTGAGCTTCTGGTACCTCCAGGTGCCTGTTGTAAGATTTATTCCCAAGAAGCATTGTTACAACAAGAAATATTCTACCAAACACAAATTAACTTACTTTTTTGTGCTAAGCATATATTGCACAATATTAGATAAAGCTGAGATCTTTTTTTAAGGAGAACTGTGAAGGATACGGGACCACTTTGCATCCTGGGATACGATTGTTGATAAAGTCAGCAGCTACTTCAGCTTTTGGTCTTCCAACATCCTTTGGTCTGTATGATGATGCATAAAAACGATAAAAATACAACACCTGTAAGTTTGGGTAAAATCTATAATTATTACAAAGGTTTTGGTAAATCTCTTGAGTTATCGAGTTACAGTAAGGGTTGTCAGTAAATGGTATTTTTTAAATACAATACAAGCCTTAAGTTATATTCCATATTCCCGTATTTAGATAAACATAAAAAAATCATCTTACAAAGTATTTTATCCACTAACAATAGACAAAAACGCACAGGAGATCAAACAGAAAAGTCAAACCAACCTGAAAAGAAACTGCCTGTTGAGGTTCGAGACGTCAATTTTATCCATGTCAACCACATGAATGAGGCGAAACCCAGACAGAGCCTAAAGAACACCATTATGTAATAATCCACGTAAACCAATCAAAACAGACTCATTAAAGTTTAAAGCTTTTCTCCCTACCAGGTTCTTCAGGAGTTCACATCCAAGTCCTCCTGCACCAATAACCAAAATCTTGCAGGTCTCCAACAAAAACTGCAAAGACTGATACAACAGAAACGTTGAGACGTTTAATAAAAAAAAAAATCATTCAGGATAATAAAATAATGCATTGAACAGGTGTTCAGAGTCACCTCAGTGCTTGGCTCAAAGTCAGGATGGGTGAACGGGCCCGGCCTCTCCAAAAACTTCCTCACATGATTCCAGCGGCCATCCCATTCACTGTCCCTGTGTCCACTTTCAACAGCCATTCTGGAAGGATAAAACCCAAAACCTCTGAACATGTATCAATGTATCATGGCCTCTCCAACAACACAAGCATTTTTAACTGTTTAGTTGCTTCATATTTGTGACAGAAAGTAAAATGAGCCAGATGGCCATCATGGGACTTGAAGAAAAAAAAGTGCATAAAGGTGAAAATAGTGGTAAACTGTTGAGCAGTGAAATAGGAAACCTCTGACAGCATGAATCAAGTTTAACAATCCCTCTGCRCACATTTGCTTTCTGATGCTACAGTGTAATAGTTTTTGAAATGCAAATGTTAAGCAGGGTGTCTCAAAAATCAGGGATGAGTACTGTTAGAACATAAGCATAAACTGTCTCAACTAGTCATGATTTATTGTTCTATCTGAGCAGTGTGTGTTTTGTTTACAGTATGCTCTTACTGCAGTTTATTTAAATAATAGTTAGAAATATAACTATATATTAAAATTGTTATAATTGCAGCATAATACTACCATCAAGCGACATTAGCCTATTTGAGTGGACTTTAGTAACTTTATATTATGTTTTTACCAAAACTATGTCTTTATTTAAACACACTATATACACAAAATCTGTTTAATATTAAAAAACGAGTGGGACACTTCCAGGTCTGTTTAATGCAGAAAACCTCACTTGTATAGTTCGTGTAACTGAGTGAGGATGCTGTTGTATTAAATTATGTTGCAACTAACAATGGATCTGTTCCTCTTTCTGCATTACAGTCCTTGCTATAGATGTTTACGTTGTGCACCTTGAATCCTTATTAGCACTATCAGCTAACAGGGTTATCAAAGCTGTTCTTGGTTAAAATGTTTACGTCTCCTGGCCCAGCAGTCGCAAAACTGCCGCCAGTCAGAGACCTGTATTTAGCGTTCGTCACTAACTTCTCAGTCAGGTCCTCTATTCGCCTTCTTTTCTTCTCCCTGGAAGAGGACAGTGAAACGGGGTTTTATTGTTGTCCATTTGAAGTTAAAGGGCAACAGTATAACCAGGTTAAAATGATTTTTAACGCCCAATGAGACTTACGGCTCCTCGGCATCCGCCATACTTTCACGGTCCCATGTCCTCGATTCAGGCTGCTGCGTTCGCGGGAGTCCAAGCTGCGCAGGCGCGCTGCGTTTATTTGTCTGTTTTTCAACCTAAGCATTACATTTACACAAAACATGACTGCAAATACTGTGTTAAAATATCGCAGTTGAAATATAACACGCAGGACAACAAATTATTTTTCAGTAAACCAGATTATAATTTTTTCCCAAGCAGTTCACATCTTTTTTAATTTATTCCATTTTTTTCGATTTATTATTGTCTTCGATTATATCTTGAAGAAAGTACAACGTCATTCGTTTTTAACAAAGTGTAAACTACAATTAATTTATTATAGATCTATTTTTATTCATTTTCATTTCTACTTGACTTTTGAAGTTGCCTCTTTTCATATTTACGTGAATGCTCCGGGCGCATCATGAAAACTCCGAAAACTCTTCCGTGTCTTCATCTCGCGAGAGTACGTTGATCAGCTGATCTGTCAAAATATTTACGCAGCGCGTGCTGGTTTGTGTACGCTTCCGATAATACCCAGCTGCGGTCATGGCAGCCAAAATGGAGCTGGCGCCTCTCAGACCGTGGGACGACTTCTTTCCCGGAATGGACCGGTTCGCCAAACCAGAGTTTGGAGATTTGGCCAAGTGGAACAACAGAGTGATCAGTAATTTAATGTACTATCAGACAAATTATTTCGTCGTGGCTCTGGTGGTGTTTCTCATCGTGGGGTAAGTTCAAGCTAACTCTTAGCTGAGGTTAGCATTGCGTGGCTCTCTGCATACCTACACCCACACCCATCCTGAACACAGGCTGTTTCCGTGTTTTTCTTTTCTTTTTTTTATCTGCCACATAAATACCTACATCTCTTTTTTAGTTTTATTTACACGAAACGTAACATTTTGCAACTTTGTTGTGGGATTTTAAGCTTGAAATAGCATTAGCATGACGAGTGTTCTGTGGTGCATTTGTTGCTAAACGTCCTATATCTGCTGCCATGACTAACTCTAATAAGATGTTCTGATTAATCGATGATGTAGTGGAAACGGTGAGTACAGGCCTTGTTGCAGGCTTCCAGCCTATTAYGGTTTTACAGTAAAACCACAACACATGGCGATTACTGCCATCACCACCAGGTTGTGCTGTTCKTAAAAAAAAAAAGCCTACTCCAAGTTAAAAACACAATTTATTTTTATGTTCTAATATTCAGGTTCCTGAATCCTTTCGCCTTGATTCTTGGTGGTGCTGTGGTGACTCTGGTCTTTGCTGGATCTGTGTGGGCCGGGGAGAACAAGGCCGTCATCAAGAACTTCAAAAGGAGGAACCCCACTCTGTTCGTGTTCGCCGTCATGATCACCAGTTACTTTCTGCTGTCGTTGCTCGGTGGCRTCATGGTCTTCATTTTTGGAATCACCTTCCCCCTGCTGTGTGAGTCTCACTGCAAAATGTTGCTCATTTGTTCACTGTGGCAGATACTTATTTGTTTGTACTAAACAATTTATTTTCAGCTTAGAGGATTTGCCGTATGATAGTGAAGCCATCTGAATTTAATGAAGCAGTCTGATTCACTTTATTTAAATTACTAGTAAAGGTACCAGATTCAACTGCATGTTCAGTTGTTAATTCATACATTTTATTCATGGCACACACAAAAAAATCAGCATCTCAATATGAGTAAAGGTTTTCCTAAAGTCCTGCTTTCCAGTTCCCTGACCATCAGCAGAGAGGTTTTGGTGAGTCATTAGGGTAAAAGGAGCATTTAAATCCATCATCGCGGCAAATAGACGAAGCTTATCACTTCTCGGGAGCTCCCCCCACTGCTGCCTGTGTTGACACGTTGCTACGGGTTCTTGGTTTGGACAGAACCTCTTTTACTGGCTGATGTCATGCGTTCTATATCTGCCTGTCATGGAAACAAAACACGTGCCAACCTTTGCACCTGCTGCTGTGTGAAGTCTTGCAACAGCGTTTTTGTTCGTCTCACAAAAGTGTACGTATAGTCCACTAAAATATACTCTTCGCTTCTTTTCTTTTTCCTGCAGTGATCCTGATCCACGCCTCTCTGAGACTGCGCAACATGAAGAACAAGCTGGAGAACAAGATGGAAGGCGTTGGCCTGAAGAAGACCCCGATGGGCATGATCATGGATCTCTTGGATCAACAAGAAGAGAAGATCAACAAGATCCAGGATTTTATTGAAAGCAAACTGAAGGAATAAAGCTCCGTACGAGAGAGTACCTACCTAGTGTCATAAAGTTTGGTTTCCTGCCACATGTCCCAGTTTTACACTCCCCCCCACCCCACCCCCCCTTGCATATCTGATGTTTTGTGCGTTCCCACATGCGATCCATTTGATTTACGTTATGTTTGTGTTTAGGTGTTCCAGTTCATCCAAAGTGTATAGGTGGAAAAAAACATGTTTGTGCAATATTATCCTAGAAGAAAGTTACAAGGCACGGTGCACTAAAAGGTTACCAAAGGTCTGAACATTCCTGTGTTCACAAATGTCCAGAATCAAGTCGTTTCCCTTATTTACAGCTCACTTAGAGCATGAAGATGACCGAGTATTTATTTCGGTAAACAAAATGGAATGTTAAACAGAAAACTCACTAATTGTTTTAAGAAATTGTTTTGGTTTACTACCTCGAAATTACCACGTTTTGTCTTTCATCTCATTTAGGCTCATAATAATCAGATAAAGCACCCAGTCAGCTGCTGGTTAAGAAGGGTCTGTACTGATACTGATCTTAGATTTGTTGCTAGTTTAGAAATAATTTTTTTGGCCTGACTTTCTGTTTGTGCACACAGTTGCTGACCCTGAGTGTGTCCCCTGTTATAGCTATGCAATACTGAAAAGTGAACGGCAAGTGCAGTTTCATTTGAATGGCATGTTGAGATTGTTTATCCTGATGTACCATTCTCATTTTTTTTACAACAAAGCATGCAGAAGTCGATAAGATGGAAGCAGGACTTGAACAAAAATTGGAATAAAGACATCTTGTGTGTTTTTCCATCAACTTTTGTCTTTGTAGAAATGTGTGACTGAGCAGTCATCTTTAATGTAAAATGTTAGGTTTGTTGTTGCATTTGATTTGTTCCGTTCTTTTTTTCTATATGTGCACATGTCTGTGGATGCTGCATTTGCAAATGACTCGCATGAAAGCTGGTCTGTACTAGAGGTATAACTAAATACATTTATTTTGTTACAATACTTTAGTAATTTTTTTAAGAAAAATTGCTCAATTTACCAAACTGGTTCCACTAAACCAAGTTGAGTAAAGTAAATTCAATACTTTACTTCTTAGAGCATGTATAGAAGTACTTTTACTTTCAGAGTTATTAACAGTTTTATGACTTTTACTTAACTACTTTTCTTGGTAAAATTTGTTGTTTTCTGTTAAAGTATTTTTTACTTTTACTTATTTATGTACCTCTGGCCTGTACTCTGATAAAGATGCAATTATGAATATTCAAAGAAAACAAACTGGAACTGAAAAGGAGCCATCCTCAAAACCTTTAATCTGATTTATGAAGTCATGGTGTAGTTGATGTTCATGTATTTATAACATTCATTCARTATTGTCTTTTTATATATATTTTTTTGTTAAACAGGAAAGTAAATATAATTAAATAAAAGTTAATTTAGAATACAATTAGAAAGTTCGATAATTGTATAAAATGGGTCTTTTTCAGCTCCTTATGCATAAAAAATAATCTCTGTAAGATTTTTTTTATTTTTTATTTAACAGATTAAAATGATCAGAAAAGTAAAATATGTGAACTGAAAATGTTTAGTTTTGGTGCCTCTTAACATGTACATTTTATTCATATGAAGTCCAAAGCAAACGGTGATATAACAAAGGAGTGGAGCAAAAATCAGCCTATATTATTCACTGTTCATGTCTAATTATTACTTTATGTGTAGAACAACAAACCCATTGGATCTGTAAAATAAGCAAACAGTACATTGACAAAACAGCTGAAGTTGAGTCAGAGGAGACTTGTTTCACTTGATTCCAGGACTTTTGGGAGTGGCACCTGCAAGCAATAAAAGAAAAGAACATTTCAATATCTGCAACTTCACAAGCTGGATGAATTTCTGAACCTCTCCCTGATAAAGCAAACAAAGTAGCAGACACCCTATTTTGACCAGTTCTATAACAGCTCATGGGCACTTACTGATTTCAGATAGGCCACATTGCTCTTTTTGATCTCGCTTAAGAGCTGATCACGAGGTGTGAGATCAACCTTTGGAGGTACTCGTCTGCGAGGAACAGGTTTCAAAGTCTTTATCACATCAGTTAGGTTTGGTTTTTCATCCTCTGTCTCCCTAGCTCCTGCGTTCTTTACTTTAGGCGTCTTTCTCAGTTGAAAATTTGGCCTCTCCGCTCTCCTGTCCTCCCTCGGATCAAGCTCCAGTAAGGGGTTACGTTTCTTGGGAGTCCTCTTCAGCTGGATGTCCCGTAATGGGTTTGATGGCTCGGCGCTGGGTTGTTTGGGAATGCTGTTGTGATTGGGCTTCTTCGTTGGCTCTGGCTGCTCTCTCTGATGTTGTGTTTGAGGTGCGCTGTTCAGCTCTGCTGAAGGTGAAACCAGTCCCTGCTCTTGAAGGAGTTCCAGTGGCGGCACGTACCCCAGCATCTCGAGTAAACCCGGGGGCAAATTGAGACTTTTCTCATAGCTCTGCATCAGCTCCATTTGCTCCTTCAGCTGCTGCTGCCGCTGCTCCTCCTTCCTCAGCTGTCTCTGCTGGTCCAGATTTCTGGTCAGGATGTTGGTCACCACCATCCTGGGCCCTGGCTGCTCAAAGTGGTAGCCCATCTTCAGCAGGGTGTTGTTGGCCTTGAGCAGCCGAGAGATCTCCATCTCTGCGTGGTGACCCAGCATGTGTCTCTGGTTGTGGAAACGAAGCTCCGTGAGGGTCTCGTTGAACTGCAGACAGCGGATGATGGCGACGATGCCTTTTCCAGTGATGAAGTTGGACTCGATGTTCAACGTTGTAACGCTGCGGTTCTCCCGCAACATGTTGGCCAGGCTGAACGCGATGTTTTCATCGACGCCAGTGTTTGCGATGCTAAATGTTTTCACGTGTCTGTTCTTCTTCAGGGCGTTGACGTAATCTAAGAGCATCTCTTTGGGAATGTTCTCTATATTGTTGAGGTTTACCTCAGTGACAGACGGATTGTTGTTACGAATCTTGTCAAGTGTCGACTCTAAGTTTGTCTCGTTTCCTGAAGGTCTTGATGTCATTTTTATATTATTCAGAGCCAACTTTGGGATCTTTAATTTGTTCACTTTAATCTGTTCTCTCTTTGGGAAACTAGTGTCGGCTTCATTTGTATCTGATACTTTGGAAATATCTTTGACATGCAAATCTTCTTTGTTAGTATTTTCATCTTTGTCTTCTTTGTTTGTTGTCTCCTGTGAGTCTAAAACAGAAGGAATGGCAGCTGTAACATTTCCTGTTGCTGTTTCTGTGTCTTCTGGAGCCTCTACAGGATTGTCTGTATCCTCAGGTACGTTTTGTACAGGTATTTTTTCTGCCTCCTCACTCTGTACATCAATCTCTTTGTTCTTTTGAACCTTCGCATCATCTTCCTCAACTATTTCCTCAATTATCTCTTCTATAATTTCCTCCTCATTTGTACCATCAGCAACCTCTTCGATTACCTCTTCTACCACTTCATACTCTTCATGTTTTGCCTCTTCTGAATCAGCATCTACATCTTTCTTTTCAGCTTCCTCCTGTAAGGTTTTCTAAAAGTAAAACGTGAAGTCGTTAAAATTGGACCTTTTTACATGATGAATCAAAATGTGTGCCGACTTTGAGCTCTTACCTCACTGGGCAATAGTGTGGCAGGCACCCTTTCTTCCTCGAGCATTCGTTTGGACTCTTTCTCCCAGTAGAGATAATCAACCAGGGATCTGTGGTCAAAGGTTCCCGTGGGAGTTTTCTCCGTCTGGTCTTTCTGTCTCTGTCCTACGGGTACGCTCTCATCTGGGGCGATAATAATATCCATCTCGCTCTGGAGCTCCTGCAGCTCCTCGGGCGAAAGCATTGCCAGGATTTCATCCTCATCGATGTCCTCTTCACTAAGATCCTCGTGTTCTTGATTGTTGGACATGACTACAACGTAGAGTTTCTCCTTTTGCTGCTATAAAGAGGACAGATGATTCCTGGAGTTTGAGACCGAGCAAAGGGGGAAGCTTCTGTCTCTGACTGTAGCTCGGAACGGTTTGCCTCATGTGTCGTCTAAAATTAAACTCTGCGAATTGCATGGAAGATATTTAAAGTTCAAGCAGGAGAGAGACAGGCTAACAGTCTGTTTTCAGCCCTCCTCTCCCAGCTGGCTCGGCCTTCAGAGTCTTTTGGGATGACAGCTGCTTCAAGAAAAAAAAAAAAACAGTGCAGGACCGACAGCAGCAGGTGGGTCATTTTTACTGGCCTGCTTGTTGGATGGTGTTGGGGTAAACTCTGTGGTAAACATAAGTCCTCCAATCCATAACTATAAAGAGCTGTAAAAAATGGTTAGGCAGAAAAAAATCTTCTTTGATAAAACTTTGTTTTATGCTGTTTGAAATTGAGAAAAAAAGAAGATAAAATAACTTTGGTTCAATTTTGTTGCACTACAAATGGAGAGAATGGTCAAACACATAAACTGGTTGAATATAACAAGCTTCAGTGAGTTAAGGCTCATCGTAGTAATGTCATCCATCCATCCATCCATCCATCCATCCATCCATCCATCCATCCATCCATCCATCCATCCATCCATTCTCTGCTGCTTGTTCCAGAGTCAGATTGCTGAGCAGCAGCTTGAGCAGAGCACCAGCCATCTTTCTCCACAGCCACCTCTTCCAGCTCTTCTGGGAGAGTTCCAAGGCATTTCCACGCCAGGCGATAGACATAGTCTCTCCAGCATTTCCTGGGTCTTCCCCAGGGTCTCCATGGAGTTTTATATGCCAGGAACACTGCTCTAGGGAGACGATGCAGCATCCTTACCAGATGCCCGAATGACCTCAACTGGTTCCTCTGAATGCAGAGGAGCATCTGGTCCACCCTGAGTCTCTACAGAGATAACTGAACTTCTAACCCTGTAAGGGAGAGCGCAGCTACCTTGTGGAGAAAACTCGTTTTGACTGCCGCCTGTATCTTGTTCTTTTGGTCACTACCCAAAGTCTGTGACCTTATGTGACGACAGGAATGTAGACCGTTTGGTAAACAGAGAGCTTCGGTTTAAAGCTCAGCTCCCTCTTCACCGCAACAGATGGACACAGAGTACATTTACTGCAGAAGTCATTCTGTCTGTCAGTCTCGTGCTTCATTCTTCACTCGCATGTAAATGTGCAGAATCATGAACCACATATTTTAAAAAGTCCATTTATTTTCATGATCCAATTCACCAAGTCAAATGAGAATCCAAAGTAATTCCAAGATATTTGTRGGTAGTGACAATATCAAGGGGTTTGTTTAAAAAAGTGAGTTGATTTGTTATAGTGAAATGTCTCCTGGGTGAGGAAAAATACATGCAAAATGAAAATTGCTTTGAAGTGTCAGGATATTTAAATAATTTTAAACTATTAGCTTGTCCCGGTAATGATGTCCTTACTGAAGAAATAAAATATTCATTAAATAAGTTAGCAATTTTTTCATGATCAGAAACAAGAAGTCCATTTACTGAGATTTGTGAATTGTTATTAAATGTTTTATTGTTACTTTCACCTGTCACTGACTTAATCGTTTCCCATAATATTTTTAGATTCTTACTGGCTGAAATAATTTTGTCTTTTTAGATTTAGATTCATGAGCTCTGAGGACTGTTTTACCTCCTCCAAAAATGTTGAACTATTCCTTTAAGACACCAACTGACTTAAAAACAGAAACTGAACCGGTTGTTTACCAGCTGCATGCACCTCACAAAAGAAAGCAGCAACACTCGTCTATGTGTCACACATTTATTTATTCTCCTCCTCATATCAAATGGAAAAATCTTATATGACAACATCTAACAACACACTGACTGTACAAAACTGTGAGGAAACAAACAATGATATGCTTTTCATGGCAGTGTCTTTTTTTCCTAATCAAAAAGTTTTTTTTATTATCTCACCATGCATTTTCAAACACTTACTGCACCAACAAGACAGATGACTCTATAAACAATACAGACACACATTTTGATCCAACATGTCTAATAAAAGGGGAGAAATCTGAATTCATCATAAACAAATGCTGCTCTAATGAGTAGGTTCTCATAATGTCTCATTTGGAACGTAGAGCTGTACTTTTTACCTGGATGGTGTTCTTAACATGAAATGAAAATGATCTTTTTTTTAAATTCTATAATCTACTGGTTTGTATAGGGCAGTAGTGAGTTCTTGTTTAAAAGTCACGTTGATGTTTCTTTTGTCTTTGAAACCCATTCGGATTAAAATTCCAGTGTAGCTGTGCAACATCTCGACACATTCTCGTCTGCCTGTACAACGCATCCAATCCAAGGCACATGGGAAAGTCATTCATGAGTCTCGTCACTGTGTTCAATGTTCGCTGCGACACGAGGACAGCGTGAGCYTCTGCAAAGATTTAAAGGACAGGATTTCTCCAAAGACTGCTTTTTTAAGAGGCTGTGAAGACCGCTTCAGCTTCATTCCCTCCATGTGCTGCATGGCCCGTGACCCGTTTGTGCCCAGCTTTGATTTGGTCCTCTTCAGTGGATGCTCATGTAGCTCCCGCCAAGGTAGAACCTGCGTGTGGGAAAAGGACAAGAATGTTTGAACGTTGAAAGACAAGAAACAAGTGGAAAATGAAGAGATGGATGTGAAAATGAAATGCATAAAAAAGTCTCAAAGGTTTTCTGAAAATGTACGACACTACCATGGTTTTCTAGAATATATAGAAATAATTAATATTCCATGAATTTAAAGTTATTCAGATCTTTTGACGTAGGGTTCTGTTGAAAGGTTGTGAAAGATTAATATTTGTCGTCRGTAGCTCTGTGATTCACCTTGGTTTGGAGGAAAGGTTTGTTGCAAGTCTGACAAAAATAATGAGCTAATGGCTAATCTGAACGAGACAAAGATTAAAGGGAATGGCTGTCATTTTGAAGCAACGACTCATATGAATGTTAGTTTACAAACATTTATACTGCCATCAATTTAAATTTACAAGTTCATTTTAGCAGAAATGTGATGACATACTGGAAGTGCTCCCAGGTTGCACCAGAAGTGCTACAGCTTGCTGCTGCCGCCAATTTTTGAGCTCAAAAATTAAAGTAAAACTCATTGTAAAACTGAGATTAAAGTTGTTTTAGGATGGCAGCGATCCACTTCGGTTTTGGTCCTGCCTGGACTAGGTATTAGTTCATCAATCTGGTCAGAATTAAACTCCTATCTCTCCTAATCAAGGACATTCAAAAAGCTATCAGCAACAGGTAAGATATTCATAGTGCATAAACTTTCCACAGAACCCTTCTTTGAAATATTTGAACTGTTGCTTTAAGCCCAACTAGCTTTATAAAAGCTGATATTACCAGATGTGAGTCACTGCCTGATGTGAGGTGTGTTGGCACAGTACCACCCACATTCTAGCCCTATATATGTAAGTAAATCTAGATACAATGTAATTTATCAGCTAATGTCAGATGTGTCTGAAGTGAGGAAACATTTCTCACATGTTTTGCTTTGATATGGATTAAGCTGTGAGGAGCAAAGGAAGAATATTTTTAGCTCAGTTGCCATACTTTGAGCTATCTGATGATCACAGTAAACTCAAAATAATTTTAGTTCACTGTCTTAAAATAAAAACAACAATGAGGACTTTCAAATAAAAAAGGGATTTTAATGCAATTAAAATCTAGCATATACAATATATATA